ATTAGGGCAGAAATTAATGCAATTGAGACAAAGAAAACCCTCCAAAACATAAATGAATCAAAAAGTTGGTTCTTGAAAGAATAAATAAAATTGATAAACCCCTAGCCAACCTTATCAAAAAAAGGAAGGAAAGAACTCAGATACATGCAATAAGGAATGAAAAGGATGAAATTACTGCAGATTTCATAGAAATTCAGAAGATCATTAATATCTATTTTGAAAATCTTTACTCCCATAGGATAGAAAACTCAGAAGAAATGGACAGATTCCTAGAGATGTATGAATTACCAGGGTTGAGTCAAGAAGATATAAAATTCCTGAACAATCCAATATCAATTAATGAAATTGAAAATGTGACGAAAAATCTACCAAAGAACAAAAGCCCAGGCCCTGATGGATTCACAGCAGAATTTTACAAGAAATTCAGAGAAGGTTTAATACCAACCCTCCTCAAACTCTTTAATGAAATTGAAAAGGAAGCAATTCTCCCTAACTCATTTCTGGAGGCAAGCATCATACTGATTACAACACCAGAGAAAGACCCAACCAAGAAAGAGAACTACAGACCAATCTCCCTAATGAATATAGATGCAATGATACTCAATAAGATACTAGCAAACAGAATGCAGCAAATTATCAAGAAAATCATACATCACGACCAAGTCGGATGCATTCCAGGAATGCAGGGTTTGTTCAATATTCACAAATCTATCAATGTTATATGCATATAAATGGAACCAAAGGCAAAAACCACATGATCATCTCAATAGATGCAGAAAAAGCTTTTGAGAAGATCCAACATGCATTTATGATAAAAACTTTACACAAAATAGGAATAGATGGTGTTTACCTTAACTTGATCAAAGCCGTTTATGACAATCCAACAGCCACCATCTTTCTAAATGGACAAAAATTGAAAGGTTTTACTTTAAAATCGGGAACAAGACAAAGATGTCCATTGCCACCACTCCTGTTCAGTATAGTTCTGGAACCACTAGCCAGAGCAATTAGACA